ATATATATATATATATATATATGCAAATGGCCTTTATATTTACAAGTTTATTTTCTACTCAAAAGGGAAATAAGAAAAAATATCACATCATAACTCCTGATGCATTAAGAGTCTAATGGTGGAGCGTCAGGTGTCAAGTGAGCTCCACCATTTTTAACACCGGTCAATATCAGTGTTTTACGGTGGGACCCACTTGACAAGTGGTGCCCCACCATTGAATTCTGAATTCAAACTGCGTCAGGAGTCCTGATGTAATGTTCTCTCGGGAAATAGACTCTCTCTCTCTCTCTCTCTCTCTCTCTCTCTCTATATATATATATATAAATATGTATAAAAGTAAAATTTTAATGGGTTTGCATGATTTGGATCCTCTTTCATTATCATGATAACAATAAAGTATAGTTATTAAGTTTAATCTTTAGTTTCTTTTTAGATCATTCCACTTAAATTAATCTACTAATACTAAGATTAGGGTGATTTTAAATAATAAATTAAATAATTTAAAATAGAATGAATAGCTAAATTTGAATAATTAAATTGTCCTAGTGCATCATTAGAAATCTCATATAGGCATTAAGACCGGGATATAAATTTAAGGGCCGTTTACATATACATCACCAAAAATACTGTTACTTATAAATCTGTCACCCTCTTTCGTTTATTTTTCAAATTTCGCTCAAATATCAAAATTGACGATAAAACTCCAACCCATATTTATCATTTTTATCAAATTCTCAATAATTTAATTGTGACATGCACAAATACATCAGTTCGTTAGTTCAAAAAAATCACATGGGTGCTAGATTTTATAAATAGCAATGTCTTGGGTGTAATATATGTAATTATCAAAGATTTTAATCGACCCTCGATATATTTCACTAATTTTAAATCAAACCTTACAATCTAAGATTTATTCGAGTTAAAATTTAACAAGAGCATCCTGATTCAAAAATTTATCTTAATTTTTTTGATGGCACCATCAGAACATTTTGATATATTTAAAAATAAAATAAATGATTAATAATTAAAATAAAATAATGCTAAACATAACTATCTAATTTAAATATAATTTAATTTGAGTATTATTTTTGAATTGTAATTATTTGTATTTTTATCATAAATCTGTAATGTATTTTATTTGATTATTCAAAATCTAAGATGGACATTAAGGGAGTGTTTGGTACAATACTTTTAAGAGAATTTAATTTAGATTTAATGTAAAACTTGCCAAACATCATAAATAGATTAGATAAATTTATCTTTAAGTTACATCCAATTTTTGTTTGTTTTGTTTATTAAATCAGAATTTATTAAATCTAATTATTAGTTAGATTTAACGGATTTAGTGCAGGAAAAAAATACTTTAAATTGGTTTATTTCAATGAATTTAATTGGTATTAGCTTAATTAAACCACATTATTATGGATTTAATAGTATTTAATTTTTGCAGATTTATTAAATGCTATTTTTTTTAACTCCTATTTTGTAGTTGAACACTCCTATTTGAAACATTGCTTTGTAAATAGGATTTATTAAATTTGATAAATCTGAATTTATTATCGACGGCAGAGTAAGGGTCTGTTTGGGGTAGCTACAACTTATTGCAAAATCTGCTGATAAGCAGATTAAAAATAATTTGCTGATAAGTTAGGTGCGGTGGCTTTTACAAATTTTTATTTTTTTTGGAATAGTCAGATCGCTGCCAGAAAACTGTCACGATGTGAAAATACTATTTTCAGTGTTTTGAAAATGCACAAAAACGTTGTTTAATCAAGCATTTTTAAAAATCACCGCACCAAATAGACTATCCCAAATGGGCCCTAAGAGTGATGATGGAATCCGTAACAAAATTTGATAGAAGAGCGGGGACTTTATTGTTGAGTTTTTTAATATTTTATTGGATTGAAGCCAAATTCACGGCTAAATCAGTATGCTGAGCCAATGGGGCAAAACCTAAGAGCAAGCAGCGAAAAAGTCACGAGAGAACTCTTTCTCCAAGGTCAATTCCAGCCATGAAGCCCGTGCCTATTAGAAAGCAGGCGCAGTACTGACACGCAAGGCTACATAATTAATAAAAATCGGCCCAGCCATGACCAAACAGTCTTCTGTCTCCCTTTTCTTCTCCTTCTATAACCAACACTGCCTCTACATCTCTGTCCTGATCATCTTCTTCGTTTTCTCTTGTCCTCTCAATACAGGAGCAATGGAGGTGAAAAAGATAAGATTTTGATTGCTCTTTTTTCCGATGTTCTGATCTAAAAAGAGGAAGAAATCTGATTTACGACAAATTTGGCTGCAGGAGAAGAAGAGGTGGCAAATCCCGCTTTCTGGGAACTGGAACTGCTTCGATGAGATGACCAAACTCTTTGGCGATGAAGCCCTGTTAGAACTACCAGTATCCATTCCCGTCAAATCTACTTACCCGTACTGCGTCCATTGTCATCGAAAAGTCTCGTTTTTAGCGCTTTCTTACTGTTTTTTTTTTTTTTGACATTTTGTTCGGCTCTTGAGTTCGTTTTATGACTTAATTTTCAATAGTTTCAGGTGAGGAAAGACAATGGAGTTAGAGTGGCGAAGCTCTGCTTGACGGAGAAGCAACAGACGAAACATAAGAGTGTTTGCGACATCACGGCAGTCATGCCGAGGTCTCGCAGAGCTCCCATGGCCGTGGACGAGGACTTGTACAAGATTCCTCCTGAGCTCCTTTATGCAGAGCCCAAACGGGTCTATCTCTCTCTCTCTCACGCCAACTCCCATATTCTGTTTAATGATGGGAATCTCTTTACCAAAGTTAACTGTGATTCTGTTTGTTGCAGGAGAAGGTGATGAGGAATCTGCTATGGGGATGTATGGGTGGTCTCAACTGCATTCGCTGAGCTGTGGATTGAACTTCAATGGTGGCATTATTTGTCTTCTTCTTTCTCCTGCATCCTTCTCGTCCTTTCGCCATCTCAGTTTCATGAATTTAGTATTTGCGATGTGCAAATTAAGCCAAAAGTTAACCTTTTTTATAAGAGAGCATGCAAATGATGTTCCCACTTTGTTGCTTTATCTCCGTTTGAGTGTTTTTTTGGGGTGTCAGCTTTTGACTAGTGAAATTCTTGCATTATTGCCGCTGTCGTTAATAGTGAGCCCATCTTAATGGCATTTAGGGGGTGAATGTCTGGCATAATGGATTTCCAGCAATTTGGGTGAAGGAGAATGCAGATTCCATCTGGAATTCGCATGTATCTTGTCAATTGTATTCAGTTTCAATGTTTTTAGAATCAGAAAATATTCCCAATGTCTAGTGGATTTGGAGGGGGTGGCTTCGGATTTGTATTAAACTTATTATTATTATTTAATATATTAATGTATTATTATTTTTTTATTTATGTACATAATAGTAATTTAATATTTATTATATTTATAATTTAATAATTTTTTTAAATAAATTTGTCACATAAAATTTGATTATCTTATTAAAGTTAAATAAATAATTTTTAATATTAATGCAGGAAGTTTTAGGGAGTGTTTGGTAGCATGTTATTTATCAAATTTAGCATTTGATTTAATTTAAATCCAACCAAACACCAAATTAAAAAAAACTAAATCTGATCGTGTTCTATTATTATTCTCCCACGCTTCATCTTTTTGGTAATTTAAATCCGGACTTCATAAATCAAAACATGAGATGGATTTATTCCTTCGTTGATCACAAGTGCTTATGGATTTGTTAAATCCGGATTTATCGGATTTATTAAATCCTATTTAACGTAAACCTTAGATGTAGGTGTTGCATCCTAATTTGCCTTTGTGAGTCAAGCCCCAAGAGTTAGAATGGGATGAAACATTGGAGAAAGAGTATAGTAAAACTGGAATTCACTGTTGCAATAGTGAGAAAGAGGTCTCTTTATTTGCATTTTTCTTTCTATTTACATGGACGTATTTTATTCTATTACGGAAATGAGAGAATATTTATGAAAATCATTTTTAAGTGATTAAACCACTAATTATTTATATGAATTTTGTGTCACATTTGCAGTATAATTTGAAAATCAATTTTGATGGTGATCGGCTGGCCAACTAGCTTGGCGTCGGTCGACTAAGATGACCAGTCGAGTGGCGATTGTGCTCTTAGACGCACGGGTCGGTTGGTTGATGTGATCGGTTGCGTTGCGATCTTGTTCATTGTGGATCAGTTAGTCTACTATGGTGGAGCACTCCCAGATTGTCCTGGTAGGTTGGGACTGCAGTTGTGGTCCATTGTTAGAGTCTCTAGTCACGGGAGAGCTGTCGAAGTTTCCTTGCCTAGACGGTGGTCGGCGGTAGGACGCTTTGTTTGTCTGTCCTTCGTTTGATTCGTCCAATGACTTTGAGATTCAGGTTGATATTTTTTGTGTATAAATATTAGTGTACCAACTTTTACTGCTCCTTAGTTAGCGAAGAACAAAGAAATTATTAATATTTGTTAGCATTCAATTTGTGAATTGATCAAACACATGACTTCCCTTAGGATTTCGTACCCCGTGTGCTCTATAAATAGACATGAATTGAGTATTCTATCATTTGTCGTCAATTTCTCTTTTTATAACTAAGGCGTGTTATGGTTGACAGTATAAAACAGATCGTCGTGGACCCTCAGAGGCTGGCCAAGGCAGGGTTTCAAATTTCCTCTTCTGTAAAGAAGAAGAAAGTGATTACGAAGCAAAAATGGGCGAAACTCAAATCTAACCTGGTCGATGTAGTTGACTTATCTGACGATGCTGAAGGTCCATCGTTGAAGAGACCTCACCGAGGGGCGTTGGAGTCTGGTCTAGGCGTGAATGTTGAGGGCCAATAGGTCCTTTTGGTTAAGGCGAGTAGCAAAGAGTTGGAAGGGGCGACTGTCATGATCCTTCATCAACTGCTACCACAAGAAAGTGGGAGCACCTCAGCGTTGGAGGAAGAGAAGGCCTTTAAGACTCTCTCTCCTCCATGGAAAGATTTGTGGATGAATTGGCCAAGTCGAAGGAACTCCATGACAGCGGCTAGTCAAAGAATGATGGCCCTACTGCGGTAGTTGGTCTGTAAATTGGAGGTGTGGGACACCTGTCTCAGTAGACCCCAATAATTCATCAGCCATTCCTACTACTTCAGCTAGTTCTTCATTGGGACTGTCGGCCTCGTCTTCCTCAAAGAGGACAGTGATATGCCAGTGCGAGAAGGAGCCGAAGGAGGACATAAAGGTCTCACGTGCTCCTCCCTTAACAAGAAAGAAACAAGGAGCATTTTGAGTGGGAGGCCAAGGGGCTGACAATTAGTTTTCCCTATTATATCGGTCCTTAATTTGGTTTCCACTGACGAAAGAAAACAAAGCCTGGCCCCCGACTTTGTTGGCTAGTTATGGTTGGGGGAGCTTAGCTGCATCTTGAGGGATTTTAGTCGTCGGGTCCTCCTTCAAAAGAACAGAGTGCCCATATTACTTGCAGCTCAAAGTGCCCATATTTTAGGGCTAACTATACTTGAGTTAGAAGAATCATTTGATGGGCTTGGAAGAAAAGAGGCTGCCCTGGAGGCTGATCTGATAAGGCTCCAAGACGATCGGGACCTCCTACAGGCCAGGCTTAACGGATCCAATAAGGTCAACCAGGAATCCCTTAGTACCATAACTGCCTTAGAGAGGAGGTTTGTCAAGCTGGAGGAGAAGGTGGCCTCGTTAGTTTCTATGGAAGAGTACAAGGATGATATGGATGGTGATTTTAGGCATAGAGTGGACTATGCTACCCGCCAATACATTCTTCATGACAGCTCATATGAGTTCTCCAACTTGATTATGACAAATCAGATGAAGCCTTTGAAGAAGTGGGCGACCCTGGTGATGAGTAAGAATCAACTACTTGTTAAAGACCAATCAATTAAGAGAACATTTTTTTCTTCTTCTTTTCTCATTGATTCTAAAAGCTTGTTATTGTTATATGAAAAAAATTGTAATTTTTTACATATTAATGAAATGAGACCTTTTGATTTTTCGCAATTACTTTTGCCACTTAGGCTTGTAGAATTTCTTGTTTTATCTGAGAATTTGGCCCTCAAAGATATTTGCTCCCGGGTTGGACAATGGATTTTGGGGGCCACCTTGTCTTTAATGTTCGAGTATTAACCTTTGTTCCTTTCGGGTGCTCGCGACTCATCGTTCGATCGAGCGAGCATTAGTCTTTGTTAGTCTTGCCTCCCAGTGCAGATCTTGTCACTATCTGAGAGTGGTCGCCAAGATTTTTAGAGAGTCCTTCACTGTCCTTTTTGCGGATCTTGTCGCTAGTGGAAAGAGGACTACCCCTAGAGACATCATCATTTGATCATTTGAACTTCGCACTTGTTTACATTCGAGAGATCCTCAAGTTTTTTCTTGCTCCATATGTTGCAGACGATCAGCCGTGTATTCCGGGCGATTAGCCTATGAGTTGGGTCCCTTAGAACAAATGGGCCTTTTGCCTTTCATGTAGTCATTTAGACCTCCCTGGGATGTAACCCGGTCTTGCCCAATTGTGTGGGTCCTTAGAATTTCTTGTGGCTTCTTTGGAGCCTCCCGAGGACTTTCTCCGACCTTGCTCGAGCATATAAAATTCACAGTCCTAGAGATGTAATTAATTAAAAGGGCTTGCACTTGTAGGGATACCGTACCCCATAGTAAAATAAAACCTATCTTATACCCATAAAGATAAAGGATAAATTTTTTGTTCACGTAGATCCAAAAAAATTAAAGATTTTCATCATCTAAATAATTACAGTCATTTAAAGATAATATTTATTTCCTTTAAGGCAATATATTATTCTTTAAATGATGTAACCAATTATTTAAATAAAAATCTTTTAAGATATCTGATGGATTGAAAAGGAAAACAACAACTTACATAGCACATGGACGTCCACAATGGTGGATCTTAGAGTGGTGGTAGTGGTACGTTAGGGGTTTAGAAAGGTGGTGCTAAGGTATAGAAGGGGTTGGACCGTGGGGAAACAAAGACATAACAATGGTGGTTTATTGTTATAAACATAAACAAGCAGAAAAGAGCAGAAACAATAAGAGGAAAACAAGGCAAGCAAAGACATCTTATTGTTTGGGGGTGGTAGAAATAAGGAAGAGGGGTTTGGGGGCAATTGTGATGGTTGAAATCTGGTAGAAATGACTGGAAAAACATGAAAACAATAATAACAAGTGGTAGGGATGGTTGTGAGTGCTGGAACGGGCAAGGAAAACAACTCCATGCTATTAGGGATGGCATCGACAAGCTGAGGTAGCAGATGTAAGATAGAAAAACTATAGGGAAATAACAATAAACAACTATTTGGTGGTGGTTGCAGTAATGGAATACTACTAGAAGCGATGTGAGGAAAATATAAAAGGGGATAGGGAAAATAATCACCACCCATGAGTGAGATACAAATGAAGCACCACTCAAACTCTCAAATACAACTCTCATTTAGAGAAGAGAGATGACAAATACTATCTTGAATAAATTAACTTCCAAACCCTAGCAAGAAACAAATATAAGAAATGATGAAACATGCAAAAACTTGGAAATAAATTGAATGATTGCCGTTCATTTCGTATCTCTGCCTCTAGTGTCACCCAAGAGGTTTGTAGGTCTTGTGTCGTGGGAAATACACGTGTGCGACTATTGAGGCTGTACATCATAAATAGCGAAATTAATATGCCTGTTTTTAGCGAAAAAGTGTTGAGTATTTTTAAAGAAAAACTTAGTGAGGAGGGGGCTTTAATTCTTATTTTAAGGATACATAAAAAGTATAAATTCATAGATTAAATGGGGGTCTAACAATTAAGAATCCAATCTAAACCATGGAACCTATAAACATTCTATATAGCTATTGAAGGGAAAAGAATAAGTGCAAAAGGCTCGTGAGATGCTAAGTACCTAAAAATTTGGGATAATGGGCAATATATCAAAGTGGGGATTCAGGGAAGGGCGTTAGCATGGAGGGCATAGTGAGGTTTTTAAGAGAGGAGTGGTCAAAGAAAGTGTATGAGGCATCAAAAGAGTGTATATTAGGAATAAGGAGCACGAGAGGTTGGTCTAGAAGGGCAAGGGCAAGGGGAATAACGTCTATAGATGGAGGAAGATAGGTAGGAGAGTGCAAGGGAATCGTGACATTTTGATATGGCAATAAAATATGAGATTTTCTACATGAATTGCTATAATTGTGA